TACCTTTAAGGGAGAAGGGTGCTCGAAACAACTGAATCTTTCGATCTTTCTTTTATCGCATATCAAAAAATAGACGAAGCATAGCGATCAGCAATCGCTTGATGGAACGTTTCATTCGTTCGTTCGTTCTCGAACAAGCTGTACGAAATAAAGGATCGACGGGGGTAAATAAAAGGGGAGGGGGAGGGACCTCCGAGTTAGGACGAGCGGGGGAGGGGGTGCAAGAGAGGTGTCAGGAAAGTGTTTTACTAGCCTTAATTTCGTGTGCTTTCGCAGCCAATATGTCGGGCAGTAAATTCCAAACTTTCCGCGTTTCGGTGTTGCGCGTTTTAGCACTCGCGGTTTTAACGACCCCCTCCTCGGCTCAAGGAGGATACGCTCGCCGGATATTAATCCTGTAAACAAGCTCGATATTTCTCGAAAGCTCGCTCGCGTTTTCAAACGAGAGAAAGAAAAATCCAATCTGTCGTCGTGAAGATTTTCTTCCGCTCGAATTAAGTACGATTCGGAAAAAATTCCACGACATCCAGATGAAGTATATCGCGCGACTGATACCACGAGGGGAGGGGTTCATCGAGATGAGAAGAAGAAGAAGAAGAAGAGGAGGAGGAGGAGGAGGAGAAACGAGCGACGAATCGATTGGGCAAACGTACGTTGCATGCACGTTCGGAGAAGAACTAATAGAGAGAGAGAGAGAGAGAGAGAGAAGAGAAGAGAAGAAGAAAGAGGAAGAAGAGAGGAAGAGAGGGGAGGGGGGGAGGAGGAGGAAGGAAAAAAAATAGTAATTAGTTAGTAAAACATAAAGCCACGTTGGTGGCCGGAGAAGGAAGGCAAACACATTAAACATTTAGAGGGCATAATAACCCGTGGCATACGTAATACGGCTGGCGCCCTTTTCACCGATGGCTATGAATAATGTACATACGCCAAGGTATGACGTAGGCTCGCCGAGCTATGTGTATTTCACGGTGGGGTAGATCGACCAGACTATTTCCAATAACCGCCGCGTAACGTTATCGCGAGACCCAGCAGCCTCGCGAGAACCCGGAGAGAAGACCCTTTTGTGTCCCCTCCTCCTAGTAGAGCTTCCTAGTTGCCCCCGTTTCTCCCGACACTTTCTCCCGAATCAACCAACCACACCTATCTCCTTTCACA